TATATTCTGGGGCATGATTTTCCTCATTATTAATCTTTCTTCCCTTTGTCACTTAATCATCTAACCTCAAAAACGTATTTATTTTAGGAAGTTTTGAAAATTTCGAAATTTCTTCCTCTTTGTTCCCACTTAAAGGTTTAAAATAAAAGAATAATCATAGCAGTAAACAAACCCTGAAGTTTAAAACTAACAATAGTAAACAAGCTGAACTGAAGTTTATTAACACGAACAATAATATCAGGGATAAGTTATATTCTTAAAGCCATTCTCCTTTAATAAGTGTACTTGGAAATTGTTTGACCATTTAACAGTGTTATTTAAATTACCCCTCAACTCTGATTACATCCCAGCCTCTTGGAAGCAAGCAAATATTCTTATATTTTTGAAGGAAAGCAAACCAGCGAATAAACCGGGAAGTTACCGACCAATCAGTGTGACTAGTCGTGTTGGGATGATTTTAGAAAGAATAGTTAGTAGTGGAATCTCCACTTTTCGAAATGGTTTCAGAAAATTTCGGTAAACAACAGATCATTTGGTAAGGTTAACTGAAACCACAGTCGATAGTTTCAGTCAATCATAAGAAATGAACTATCGTCTGCTTTCTTGATATAGAGAAATCATTCGATACTGTATGGCATAACGGTTTAAGATATAAACTGAAACATTTAGAATTACCAACAGGTGTTATTCGCTGGTTGTCTAACTTCTTAGAAAATGTAGAAGGCACCTACTGGAGTATTTTACTCCCGAGGCAGGTGTTACACGGGGAGGGGTAGTTAGCCCTATCTTTTTATCATGTTTGCAAGCGATATGCCATTAAACGATCCAAATTTTACTTTAACATCACAACTTGCAGACGATGGGGCGATATGGAAGAGTTCTGCGATTCCTTAGATAGCAGCTCCAAATTTACAGCCCGTACTGAATCAAATTGTCGAATATTGTCAAAAACAAGGGATAAAAATAAGTGTTCCTAAAACAAACTTTGTTCTATTCTCCAAATCGATTAAATCCTCCTGAACGAAGCTCTTCTATATATTGTTCCATCGGCAAAATTTTTAGGTAAAACCTATGATTCAAAAGTAATATGGAATAAACATATTACTCAAATTAGGAATAAAACATGGCAACGAGCAAACTACATCAAGAGATTAACAGGTAAAAGCACAGGAGCCACACCAGAAATCATGAACAAAATTTACAAACAGTATATTACGCCAGTAAAAGAACATACCTGTCATTGCATGGACAAATGTAGCACCAACACACATAAAGAAATTACAGACAATACATAACGGAATGATCACTAGAGCCTTCAGACTACCAAGATCAACAAATACTACTTTCATGCATAAATACACAAACATTTAACCAATCAAAGACAGACTCGTAAGTTGCTAGTTCCAATACTTTGATGAAAATTTATATAAAAACGACTCATTAACCGCGATAGATCGCTTTATCATACATGATAATGATAGGCCTAAATATCTCTTCCCCACTCAATGTTTACCATAAGAAAACAAGTTCACCTGCACTAGATCTTAACTTATCGCTTAGAATTAAGTATCACTTGTGTATTTAAAAGGGTTTTTATATGTGAAATACGCTACTGATAATTATTTCAGGCAATTATTTCCTATGGAACTGTTTGCAAGGCCTGACATGTATTTTCCACTTTAAATACCAAAGTTTTCGTTTTACTAGTGATAACAGCAAAATCAACATTTTATTTAACTGTTTCTAATATTTTTTATATAAAATACTTGTAAGGAGTGAGTAAATACGAGAGCAAAAAAAAAAAAACCTTTCAGAGCAAAGTGATAGTTTTGTTTTCTTCCGTCGTTGGTTTTGGACTCTTCCACCAAAAGTCCGCGATCCCTCACCAATACCCATCCCCCCCCTATGGAGGGCGTGCCCCACATTTTGGAAAACAGTGCATAAATGTTAGCGAACGAAAGGCCTCATTGGCAATGACTTGTGGGAAACTGAAGATCTCAAATAGTAAGTTTACACGTGCCTCATTTACAATCAATAATGGATAAAATAAATGTGAAACAAAAACTAGTTTGTTATGATTTTTATCGCAAACGTTAGATATACAGTATAGTTGGATAAAGTCATTCCATTTCTCAAATATTGTGATTTTGTATATTACGTTGTATTTCACTATTGTTGTAATAACAGACGGGGTGTGATTAGCATTATCTTTTGTGTACCGTAGTGAACAGTGGCGGAGTAAAAAACTCACTCTACCAGTAAAAATGACTTGAACTTCAAAAAAACTTTTATTTTACCAATGCTGTGCTTTGTACTGAAGAGTCGTAGTTGCTATGGTTTGCGCCCCCAGTTGCACAACGGAAAGTCTTGTGATGGTAAAAAAAAAATTGGGTTGCGAAACTCGTGGTGGACAGAGCACATATAACCCATTGCGCTTGACAAGAACCATACCAAACTATGGTCTGTATTGGGAGCTGAATAGTGTTAGTTGCTATGTTTTTCTTCTTCTAGGTACAGAGAAATCTTGGTTGTTATCGTTTTAATTTGATATACCAAGCTAACAATCCGAAAAAATTCTGTAATCTGTAATAAATGTATAATGATAATGTATTAAAAGTATTTAAACATTTTAACCAACACTGTTAATGAAAGTAACATTATATAAATAATAGAGTATACTTTACAAGCAAACATAAAACCTGGAAATAAAAACCCGATTGAGTTATAATTTTTAACATTGACAACTTTTATTTTACCCTTTTTTGATATTCCTCATTTGTATATAAAACGTTTATAATGTTCGATGAGTATTGGGGTGGGGGTGGGGGGTGATTAACTTACTTACCTCGCCCATTTATTTCTACATCACTAAAGGAAACACTAAATTTCCATTAATTCTCCCGCCATACAATTTTGACAAGCTTTTACGCATCAGATCTTTTTACTTTTTTTTCAGGTCGAAAGCCTTTAAACGTTAACCGTGCCTATTTACTCTTAGAACCTAACATTGCTTATTTAATTAAGAATTGAAAGAACAACCAAAGTTAGTTACATTTGGGAGCATCCTAGCTTGTGTTCCTCTTCGTATCTCATAAACGTTTATTCGTAGTAAAGTTTGTAACATTTGCTGAGTAATAAAAGACATTATTTCAAACATTTTTATATAGGTTTTCATTGATGATATCCGTAGTCGTATTAGTAAAAATACAGGCAGTTGTTCAAAGTTAACATTTATAGAAGATGACTAGTTCTTAATGTGTAGAATTTAAGTGAGACTTGAAATATATAAACTTGACCGAAAACGTTTGTTATCCACCGTCTGTGTGTCTTTGTAATAAATTAAAATCTGCTTGTTGAGTCTATGAGCTGTATCTACAAGTTTACATGTGTTATAAAACTGGCAAAGAAGTCTGGTGTCAATGTGAATACTGTTATGCATGTTTTTTTAATTATCCACTTTCACATTTATGTGTCTCGTTATAATTCTGATGACATTCTTTAGGAGCTGGTTCCATTTATGATATTTATTATGTAAAAGCTCACGTTTCCACCATACCCGGTCGTTTGAAGAGTTACATCTCCACCTCAATTCGCTTGACTCCAAGTGGCACTTCAGGAATTATCTACAATCTCAGCTTTCGTGTGGCGTCAGCAAAGAAGCGATGGCCATTCTGAGTTGATAAGGAACACATGGTTTTCAGCTTATGGCCATAAGCAGTTACAAAAAAAATGCAGCTGCTGTGTTCTTCAATAACAGTGTTGTCTAGGCTTGTGATTAATTCTTGACAGCTCTTGCCATCTGAAAAAATGTTCAATAATCTGAACGGGTGAAAGTTTTGGCGATGAGGTTTCCTATGAGACAAGTAGGAAAGAAGATTACTTTGGTGTTTTATCCAGAGTAAGGCTAGTAATAAAGACCAAAATTAAGTCCTTATAGAAAAGAAGGTTTCGACAGAGATGTGCGAAAAGGTTGAAAATGAGACTCCACGATTGGTATAAGTTAAAATCATTTTAATAAGACGGACAAGGGAGCTTTAGCACAGTATCAGAAAGTAGTGGACATTTTTTAATAGTAATCAACTAGACTAGTAATTAAACTTCATGGACTAAAGTGAACATTCTTCCAGTTGTGGAGTTATGGATTTAGTAGTTGTTTTTTTAAATTTTGTACCTAATATCACTTTAAACAAAAAGTAAGGTGGATGTTGACTGTCATCCAGAGAAAAGTTGTGATAACACTAGAAAATTGCCGTTACTTATTTCGAAATTACTTTTTGTATAGCACAACGATACTGTATTAGAGGAAAGCCACATTGGGCTATGTGCTGTATCCACCGCAAGGAATTGAACCCTACATTTTAGCGTTGTAAGTCCATAAACTTGCCGCTGTGCTACGGGGGAGTAGGGGGCATAGCACAAACGAAAAGTCTCTTTCAAAGACTACGCGTGCATAGCGGTCAGGGTTTTAAATATGAAGAGTTGGGTAAGTTCAGGGAAGAGTTGGGTAGTTCTGTTCACATGTCGTCATAGATAACTTCTAAGGTCCCTTGAATATTTCGAAATATGTAACAAAACGAAAAAAGAAGGAAAGCAGTACCCATTACTAGGATTTAAATATAATACACACACACAGTAGTGTCGCGCAGTTCTTCATTACGTTATTTATACTTCACATATACACATGAATCGTGATCCTTTGCGCACCACGTGACATTTTACTTTGCTGCTGGTTGTTTTTCACACCATATTTGTACTTTTTGTTAATTGCTAGAATTTCTTCTAACGTGATATGAAGTAAAATTGTTTTCAACATATTTAAATCATCCAACATAAATTTCACTTTATGTGATTATACACAGTTTTATGGATATTAAACATGGATAAAAGTAATATAGTAAATGCATATAAATTTCATATTTCTGGGTGAAATCCATCATTATGATAGTTCATTAGTTTCATGAACATGGCATTACGTTGTAAAATCAAACATTTATTTTCAGCGCGGATCTGACGAGCTACTGTCTCAGGGTGCAGTCAGTAATGGTACCGCCATGAGCCCACAACCGAACCACGCCGACAACAACAACGATGCCAAAAAAGTGAGTCTTATAGTTTCATGACGAATATTTTGAACCGCCTACGTGTTTTTGTAATATATCCATCAGTGTTTACATTATAGCTAAAACTGTAAGTCTCTTTTGCAGTTCGTAATGTGTGCGGTTTACATGTTACAGTATTTACATCTTACCATTAAAAAAAAGGCATTGAAATTACAAAATATTAAAATCTGTGTTTTTAAATTACTTGTATGTAATTAGTTTCCTCTAATTAGCATCTATTTATAATGTTTTACTTATGTATATCGTATGTATACATTAAGAAAAATAACTTATTGATCTTACGAAACGGGAACTTACGAAGGACGAAACAAATCAATGTAATTCATCCCCAACGTTTCTAGAGATTTGTCATACGAAGACTTAAATTTAACATGGGTGTAGATGTTGATAAAAGTTTCTTGTAATCTGAAACTGTTCTCTAACATATGGTTTGAGACCGTTTCGAATCACACCAGGATAATCAAAATCACTTGCAAAACACTACTGATCAAAACTGCTATCTGAAGAATTATTAAAAGTAAGGATGCACGGGTACATGGCCAGATGTTCGGCCCCGGCCGGGTATTGGGCTACCCGGTAATACCCAGCTCCGGCCGAGTGTTGAAGTTAAGCATCTAAGCCCTAATCTTTGTGACAACTGACGCGAAACTGAAAGTTACAGTCAATAATTGGTTTGGTTTTTTTAAAAAAAAACGTGTTCCGAGCAACAAAAACTGACCGCCCGCTGAAAGTCGGGGATTCAGAGAACAATAGAAGTTAGGGCTAGGTATTGAAAGTAAAACTTGAATGTTGTGTTGGTGATTATTTGGTTAGATGTAATAAACGTCAATTTTGTTTCTAATTTTTGGGTATGTTGTTTTTTGTGGGGGGGGGGGGCAAAGGTAATCGGCCAAATTTTACTACCCATGCATCCCTTAATATTCAGAGAATCTAAACCTTTCATTAGTTAGCAGGAATGTAACAGCCACCTTTAGAAACTAATTCCTGGTCATTTTAAAATTATGGCCTCAGTCATTATTGTCAGTAAAAGTCGATATTCTTATTGTAGCCCAGTCTCGTATAGGTAAAAAAAGATATGGAAGAAAACATCTCAATCAAAGATGAACGTCGTTCGTTACATCTCAAAAAATATAAAACAGTGGCAAAGTCGAAAACCTTCTCAATCAAAGATGAACGTCGTTCGTTACATCTCAAAAAATATAAAACAGTGGCAAAGTCGAAAACCTATTTTTATTTACATATAGAGAAAATAAGAAATATAGTATTACTGAAAGATTTTACTCGGAAATTTAATTCCAGAAATCAAGATTTTTAGATCTAAATTCTATATATATGCTTGATATACAAAATGTAAACTTGTTTTTATGAAGTCTGTTGAAAAATAACATAGTACGTTTCGGTTGCCCCTTAACCACTTAATTATGGCAGAATTTATAGAAATTAAATCAGTATAAAATCTAGTTACAACGTACTAAAAATTAATTATAAAATATCAGAAGATAATACTTTTACCCTATTATCAAATAAATAGAATAGATTATTATAAAAGATTATTAAAGACTGTAACGTACCTACATTTTGTCAACTTAGCGTGGATTCCTTTTTTAGTACTTGATAGCTTAAACTAATTTTTCTGTAAAATAAAAATATTTATAAATTTCAAACTGATTAAGAAGTTGTTATAATTCTGGCGATTTTCTTGTAGGTGAAACTGGAAAGAAATCAGCACGACAAACCGTCCAGAGTGGTCCATGTGCGGAACATTCCAAATGAGGCGACAGAGATGGACGTTATCCATTTGGGTATACCATTTGGACGTGTCAGTAATGTGTTGTTGCTGAAGGGAAAGAACCAGGTATCGATCTTAGTCTGTATATTTCCCCATAGTGAATGTGTGTGGTTACAAAGTGCGTAGAAAATAAGTGAAACAAGCGAATCAACGGGAACGTTTTATTTTGTTAATGTTATATTGAAACTTGTCTGGAGTTAAAGGGTTCTCACCTGGGCGTGTGACCAGATTATGTTGCTGTCAGCTGGGTAGCTGTTTTAAGTTACGCAGATATATATGTGCATAATAACTCGTTTGAATTTAACTGGTATCTAGTCTGGAAAATGATATAATAACTAGGGTAAACTGCATTTTCTGATGAATAACATTAAACAGCTTATCTTCACCAGATGGCGGTAGAAATACAATACGTGACGAAACGAATTTTACCCAACATCTTATTCTAATTAACAAACAAGATGTCTGTTTGTAAGGTACTTGTAAGGATATCTGCCGACTTAAGCATGTCTTTGCGAGTTTGGTCTGTATTGGGCTTTATTCTGTATTGAAAATCCGTTCCCAGTAGTCAGTTTAGGCTCAGGTCAATAAACAGCAAAGAATGTCTTGTTACGCCGTACAAAATATAGTTCATTGTGATCACATGGATGAGAAAATACAGTTTTAATTATGATACTTTGACCTAAAACATTTTATTGTGTATAATACAGCTTTGTTTCATCATGTTTTAATTGTAATTGCGTCTTTTATTATTCATTGTTCTGCGAACTTCTGTATATTAACGAACCAACCGCATATAATGTACGAAGTTGCTTTGAAAAGCATTACATAACAGGCTAATTTCCAAGTCTAATGTAATATGCAATTACTTGAGGCCAGAGCTAATATTTATGAAAATAAAGCCAACTCCGGCAGTATTTATTTTTGTTCATCGGTCCGTTAACTACACATAATTCTTTTAATTACCAGACATAGTAAAGAACCTAAGTTCTAACAAACTATTTAATACAAAGTTCCAAACGTTGACATAAATGATTTTATCGATCGCTACCTACCTGTTGAAACAGCTCTAAAACTAATGGACTATTCCTATAGGTTACACGTTTAGAATTGAAGCTGTGGGTGAAATTGTTCCCGACAGATAAAACTTTTGCAATGAAAACTGTAGTGTAACAATTTCATACGTTAGTGAATTCTTCTTGTGAAATCTTGATCATTGTCTGTGTGTTCCCCTTTTTCCGAGTAGTGTCAGAGGATTCGGCAAATTTTACCATTACTAATACTAACTCCTCGTCTCAGTCATTCCGCAAAACTGTACTTCCTTTTTGACATTTAAGATGGTTGTGTTAAACTAAGAGGGTAACTTTATTATCGCTCTTCTTAATTTAGTTAACCTCCAATCCCTCCCTCCAAGGCCACCGACAGCTTTCATGGGAAGGCTTGGTATGTGAGCCCCCCCCCCGATCAATTCTTTCTCTGCCTTCTACAGATCCACATCTGGGACAGTAGACCCCGAGGAGGTTCCCGGCCTCCACGCATTCTCGGTGGGCATGTGTACCTCCTAATATAATGTCCCCAATGCTCATGAACTATATCTGGTGACGTTATTCTAACTTGCAAGTAAAAAGCACTCCCTACTTCTTCAAAATATTGAGTTGTTTAGCATTATAAGATGTATGTCAAATGAAAATGTGTAATACATAACAGAGGCGAATTTTTAAAATCTACATTTGTTGACTAGAAAAGTTCTTATCTGTAATCTAACCACTCACTTGTATATTAAAATTGCAGTATGGTAAAGAGTATGGTATGCACAACCTAATTGTTAAATTTGATTAAGTATGGAAATTTTCTTTTTGGGAGCATGGAGGTGAGGATTATTAATTTTTTCTTGTTTTTCATGTAAATGTAAAGTTGAATTAAGTTTATCCATATTGAAACGTGTTAAAACCCTCGTTGTTCCTAAACTTGTTATTCCGGAACTAACGTACCAATTTGTTAACTGAAGATTGTATAAATTATTGAGGTGTTACTTGAAGGAATTATGATAGATGTCATGCGTACAGTATGTGTGTGGGGGTAATACGTTGTCGTTGCTTGACTACCGCCTGCCCTAAGGGAGACATTTCTACCATAATACACATGCTTGACTGAAAAAAATATAAAAACATTTCTTGGTATAATAATAAACATACAGTACCCTAACAATGAAAATTAAAAGCGCAGTTTTTATAAAAACGCACAGACGTAAGAAAAAAATGTCATGAAGAAACTAATTTGCATCTTTTTTAACTTCAGTATTATTTCTTTAATTATTGGGTACTTCTGGTATATGATGGATCTTAGTTTGTAGTTTTGCGTTTCTTTAGTTGTGTATTTATATATTCGTTTAACTTCACTGGTATGAATTTCTGATCACAATAAGCCATACGAATCTTATAAATTAATATACTAGGAAAATAAAGGCTTTAGTGATCAGACAGAATGCGTTGGTCCCCCGGTAGTACAGCGGTAAGTTTACGGACTTACAAACGCTCAAATCCGGGGTTGGATTCCTCGTGGTGGACACAGCAGAAAACTCGATGTAGCTTTCACTAAAACAATGACTTTGTGGAATCATTAATCGGGTACCGTCACTGTTAATGATATTTTCAGCTGTAATCACCGTGGTTCCTCGGAAAATTTAGTCAGTTAAGGAAATTATGTTTATCCATGACAGTCAAGTTATTTTACGAAAGAATAAAAAATTTCTGGTTCTGTCTTTACTAAACATGTTATTAGTTCAAGATATAACTGTGATTATCAATTACTCGAAAGTTTTGTATTTAACCATGGATCACTTGTTCCAAACAAATTTTAAAGTTCATTGTGGTTGAAGTCTGGTAGTCTATGTGTATATCTTTGGGACCCAAAGTCTGTCAGAAACAATGAATTATGGTCTCTTTTAATAAAAAGTCAACATTGAAGTGCGTGTACCTACTCTAATTTTCCCCCAAATTTTGGGAAGAAACGAAAGATCTCGGTTATAACTCGTCGAAACGACGGTTTTTTTTTTACACTGCGTCTTTCCCGTGCAATTTTAACCGTTTCTTCAATAACATGGACAACGAATGAAGACTAGCTGCAAGCTCTCGGTCGTAGGAGTTGCCGTCATGGTTGACCTTGGACGGCTGACTCACAAAAGACTCCTATTACCGGATGTTGGGCTAAACCTGTAGCTGGCCCCACTTTGTAGGTCGCCTTTCTGCCGGATGGGCCACTGAGAAGGCATGCATGCATGCAGAACGCAATTAAGCGGCAGTTTTTCCTTCACTAAGAAGAAAGAAGTCGGAATGTTATCAGCTTGTACCTTTGCAGTTTGTCCTGTTTGTGAAAGTTGAAAGATCTGTTCATTGTCTTTCATTCTTCCACTACTACTAGTAGAGAAGTAATATACACACATAAAAAGCGCTTGTTGCTCTGTTTCTCTCAGTAGTAACTATAACTACAGTATGTAAGAAAAACAAAACAGCATATCTCAATACTATCTGGTAATTCATTGTGTTTATGAAACGACATGCCATTATGATTTATAGTGGAAGTGACTGGCCAAAACAATGATATATTATACTGAAAGAATGATTATATTATTTGTTATTGTAAATTTGTAACAAGCAATATTATCAGTATGGTACACTTACATGAAAGATTCAGTATTGTGGTTGGTATGGCACAGTTGTAACACTAGATGTTATGGCTGATATAACAGTTATAACACTGAATATTGTGGTTGGTATGGTACAGTTCTAACATTAGATATTGTGGTTGGTATGACACAATTATAACACTAGATATTGTGGTTGGTATGGCAGAGTTGTAACACTAGATATTGTCTGTGCCATACCAACCACAAAATCTAGTGTTATAATTGTGTCATACCAACCACAATATCTAGTGTTACAACTGTGCCGTACCAACCACAATATCTAGTGTTACAACTGTGCCATACCAACCACAATATCTAGTGTTACAACTGTGCCATACCAACCACAATATCTAGTGTTATAATTGTGTCATACTAACCACAGTATCTAGTGTTACAACTATGCCATACCAACCACAATATCTAGTGTTACAACTGTGCCATACCAACCACAATATCTAGTGTTACAACTGTGCCATACCAACCACAATATTTGGTGTTACAACTGTGCCATACCAACCACAATATCTAGTGTTATAATTGTGCCATACCAACCTTGTAACACTAGATATTGTGATTGGTATGACACAATTATAACACTAGATATTGTGATTGGTATGACACAATTATAACACTAGATATTGTGGTTGGTATGGCACAGTTGTAACACTAGATATTGTGGTTGGTATGGCACAGTTGTATGAAAGGATATTGTCATTATTATAAGATCCTATGAATGAAAGCAAAGAAGAATGAAATGATAATGTCAACTACCTTATATCTGCTATATTCCAGCCAATGTTAAATGGTGTGTGCTTTATATAGATAGGATAAAGTAAATTGTTGACTTGAGAGAGTAATCATGTTAAGTAGTTTATTAAGGAAATATGTACTTTAGGTTACAGAATAAATATTGCCACCTTCTGAAACATACGTTTCCATTTTAATTACAATAATTAAACCTGTTGGTGATCACTTGTATTATCTGTATAAGTTATGTTGAAATAAACATTTTTTTGTTATTATTATTATTATTTGAAAAAAACAATATAATCCATTATTTTAATACCAAGATACTATGGTCCAACAGTACCTATGAAAAGATAACTTCTGAATAAGAAATCATTGGTCACTGTATATTTTTGCAAGAGAATTTAAAATTGACCAATCATTTATTTTTTTATCTTGGTTATAATTTAGTACTAGATTTATGCTAATTAATGTTGTTGTGCTGTGTTACACATTGTTATGTTCCTATGTTTGTTTATACACACTTATTTTATATTAAATTAATGATGTTGTGTTATATGATAGATTGAACATAACATACATTTGATGAAGTGTTATGTTCCTGTGTGTCTACACTTGCTGTCTATGAAATGCTGAG